TAAACCCTAATCCCAAAGCCCCTAAAAACCCTAAGACCCATATGCCCCCAATAAAGGTACTTGTAGCCCTATACTTGAAAAGTCTCTGGATCCTAGGAGGCAAAGGAAAGTTCGAAGAACTTTCGGGCTGAGGTGTTTAAAGGTTGGTGTTGGGACTTTGCGGGTGTTGGGTTTTTGTTGGGCGTTTTTTTCGGCTTCGGGATTCTACTCGTAGGGTTTAGGGTCTTGAGGGTTGGGGTGCGGGATTGCAGGGTTGGCGGGGTGAGGGTTTAGGGTATTCGAGGGTCAAGGACTGTCGATTCTTGATTTGTCACGTATGGTCCGTATGGTAATCTGGTCATCGTAAGTGCTCGAAGGCCCTGAATCCTGACATCTATAAACACAGATGAGTGGGTCGCAAGATGCTCGCTCTACCTTGCTGGTGACTTGAAAGGGGCTCAGAAGCTCGCGGAGGCTGTGGGCCAGAGAAGCCTTGTCAGCGTGGGCGGTGGAACCTCACTGCATGTAGGATTATGCGTTTTGCATCCGTGTGCCGTTCATTCCGGCTTTTCGCTTGGACAGCTATGCAAAGGGAATCACGCTCTGAAGCTCTGCCACTAAGGCCGGCGGTAAAGCGGCAAAGGCTGCCACTCCAAGCAGCGGACGGGAGGTGCAGACAGCCCCGGCTTACGGGCTTCAGGGTTTGGGGTTTAGGGCGAAGGGCTTTCACTTCCAGGGTTTAGGGCTTTAGTAGGGTCTTAGGGTTTAACAGCTTTTGAGGTGTAGGTTGGGCGTTTAGTGCCGTGGAGCGTTTCTGTTCAGATTGCAGGCTAGGGTTCCGTGAAGAGAATGGATTTGGACATTCATATAATGTAGGGGCCTTGATGATTACCTATACTATTTTGGGTTCCCTATTATAATTACAGTCTAATGGGCCCCAAAACCCCATTCTAATTATTAAGGCCCCTGTATTAAGTGTCAACAAAATCCTTGCACAGTCTTATTGTGGTTTGGCGATCTGATGCCTATGTGAAAATTTCTCGAGATATCCCGAGTCATGTTGGGTGTGTAGCTTCGTGAGACAAAGCGGGAGAGGTTGATGTATTCTGACAGGAGCCGTTCGAAGTTTGAGGTTACTAGCCACAGCAGCTTGGCATAGCCTCCGGATTTGCTGGGTTTGCTACACTGCGGTTGCACATGCAAAGCGAGGGTGTGAAATTCTGAGGCAATCTCTGTCAGATACTTCACCTGCACTTAAAATATATTTGCCATCCTCTTTGACGAGGTGCCCGGCCAGGAACTGCAAATAAGGTCGATGTCGTAAAATGTTTTGAGGATACCTGGCCAACCCTCAAGTTCTGCTGGGCCTTGATGTAGCCGTGACCCTACAGTTCAGTTATCAGCCCTATAGGGTTAGGGTGTAGGGTTTAGGGTTTAGGGCACCCTGGAGTTTTGATGCCCTGCAAGGCATGGGTGGCTTGGCTGCCCCAGTTTCACACTTGGCCGGCAGGAGCCCAAGCAAGATGCACAAAGCTAACAACCGGAGACAACCGATGGAGTCGACGAAGAAAGGAACTAAACAGCTATGCCTGGCAACACGGCAATACCAAAAATAGAACACAACCCATCATTACCATTGCTGCCACCGCCACCCCCGCCGCCACGGTGAACTGGCAAGAGGGCAGTGAGTTGCAGCAGTTTTGATCGCTGCTTGTTTTGGTTGTTTTTGTTGTCGTTTTAGTGCTGGGTGGTCGTCGCTGTCGTACAGTCGCTGTCGTACTTGAGGATGTAGACATTGTTCGTGATTCAGACAAAGATTCCTTGCAAGGTCTTCTACACCAGAAAGCTGGAGGCTGTTGCGGCTCTCTCCGTGCAATGGCCCGACGAGACCTGGACCAAGCTTTCTGCCGAGGTCTCCTGTCCTCCAGCCCTCACACAAGACTCTCGCTAAACTCCAACCCGAGGGGTTCGACGTTTCCAAGTATGTATCTATACAGCATGTGTATACATACATATATATATATATATATGTAAGTATATATACATATATATATATGTATAATAGATAGAGGGACTTTGGTTTAGCACAATAGTAAAATTGTATTAAGTCGCTTAGAGTTTGGGGCTCGGAATTGAGGGCAACAAGCCGAGCATTGGCCCAGGAAGAGGTGATTAGGGTTCAGGGTTTAGGGATTCAAGAAGTGGCCGAGTTTGTGCCAGAATCCTTCCAGCAATTTAGCCTGGGGCTCCATGTTGCTTAGAATGGGCTACTGGGTACTACATCTTATTGTTATAAAGTAACCTACTACTTAAGCAACAGCCCCAGGGTAGTACCACATAACTCCTGGTTCTGAGCCTCTTGCGTTGGGATGGCTTTCCCCTGAACCGCGAAACCTTGAACCCTAAGTAAGCCCTAACACCCTAAACCCAAGCCCTGTCTGTATTTCTTACTTTCGTGCTGGACCAGTATCGCTACAGACCTTGCCAGGCTTGTCCGAGTGTGAGTGTCACAAAACCCAAACCCTAAAGTGCGAGACATTGGGGGTCCCTTGTCACCGGTCTGAAAGGGGCAGGACTGGAGACTATCAGCAGGGTCCCGAGAAAGTCTCAGACTGTCTATCCAAGGGATCCTGCCCAAGAATGTGTTTCCGAGCTTTGTAGCTTCCTGTCTTAACCCTATATCCTTTTATACATCCTTTTGGCAGAAGCTTTTCTGTCTCATAAATCTGCTTGCCTGGAGGGTTTTGGGAGTTTCTGGCTTCAGTTGCTGCGATATGTCGTACCATCAACCCATCTACGTTCGTTTTCAGTGCGCCAGACATGCTGGCGGTAAACATGTAATGATTGGGCCCACCAATTCTAGAAGATCCTCACGGAACCCCTAAACCCTAAACAGTCGAAACTCTAAACGGAACCCCCATCCCTTTGTGCCGCAGGTGCGAGAGATACTCGAAGGCAGCATTGCCGGCGAGAGACGACAGGCAGCCGTTCCACGGCACAGTGCTTTCTAGATCTTGCAACCCTAAACCCTAAACCCTATTACTGCGGTGCGACTTGGTCAGCTGGGCGCGGGCTCGTCCTTGCTAAGTAGGAGGGAAAAAAACTCTAATACAGGCAACACTGCATGATCCTGCGATTGCCTGATGTGTTTTTGACTTGAGCTGTAAGCTGTCGTGAATTTGGTGATATGTTTTTGCACGGAAGATGAATTTGGAATGGGAGGGACACCCTTACCGGAGTCTGCATGAATGTGGGATTGGGACTGCCACTGCATGATGGATGCGACATCAAGCTGGCGCGGAGTCAGCTGATGTGCTAGCCTTGAGCCAACGTGCTCTTGGCCCCGTACCAGCAAACTAACCTCGAGTGCCTAATACCTTCCCCTTGCTTCGAGACAACTGGAAGCTTGCTAGTCTGTCATTTTCCGCGGAAACTGGAACCAGAACAGGCAAGCATTGCACTCCTGTTGCCCAGTAATATAGGGGACTTTTAATCATTACCTATACGTACTATTTTGGGGGCTCCTTATTCAAACTACAGTATAATATACCCCAAACCCTTATTATAATTATGAAGGCCCCTACATTAGCCACAGGGCTGTATTGTGCTGTAGTGATTGTGCAATCAATCTCGTGTCACGACCCGTGTTTTTTCTTCCTTTCGTCGCAGTAGCCCATGCTTTCCGCGATGGCTCAGCTGTGCAACACAAACTTCACAGCCCTTACCTGTCATAGGCGTGTGCTTGCAGACAACATCAACATCTAGTAAACGTAATCTCAATTCCTGAGCATGAAGCCCGCCTGAGCCCGGAAACCTCGCAGTGAGGGCGTCGGATTCCGAAACCTGCCAGTATAGAACAGCCGAGCTTCATGCAGGCTTTGCACCCGGACCTGCTGCCGCTTACTGCCCTGCCAGGCTTCCTCAAGGATGCTTCGATGGCTAACACGGCATAGGATTACCATGTAAATGCATCAGGGAACCAACCCGATGGAAAGAGTTCACAAATTGTTCAGACCCCTGAAAGGATGATTAGAAGTATAAGCTGGGTTAACTCTACGAGGGAACGACCATGCTTCATCCCTGGTTGTGGTGGCTGATCCTTAGGGGCGAAATGAACCCTAAAAGGGTTTCAAGTTTCGCTGACCATGGCGGTTCATGGCATGAGATGGTATGTATGGTTGCACATGGGGCCCCTACTTTGAAGGGTCATTCGGTCCTTAAGGGTCAGTCAGGGAGAGCGAGAGCGAGAGCCTTGCAGGCCCTATGCTCCAGGCTCCAACCGTGGAGATTGAGGGCGCATCTCCTCAAGAGGTGGTGCCCTAAACATCACCAAGAAGTTATTGCAAGGAAGTACTTAAGGCCATTTTAGGGTTTGGCGTTTCGGGTAGGGTGTGCCATGGATGTGTTTCCGGTTTTTATTCCATCGCATGTAGAGGGTTCAGCGGAATAGGTCGGGGCCGGGGCGGGGCGATCATTGTCGCCGCTGTAGGAGAACCCTGTACGTACGTACGTTTGCATCAGTCTCAAACTGTGCCTGCGCGTATAGTAGTTTTGCAGGGGAGTCGTGGCCAAGTTCACATCGCTGAACGAGACCCGAATTCGTGCTGCGCCACTACGAGAGTTCGTGTCGCCTTCGTCGCATTCTATGTCGTTCACTTACAGTTATATAAGACCCCTCTCATCTTTAGACTCCAGAACAGGTTTTGGACCGTAAGTACCACGAAACTCAGAACCTCGCCTGGATTGTCAGAGTGAGAGCACCAAAACCCTAAACCCTCTTAGGGTTTACCTGGACCCTGAAGAACCTACCTTTTTAGGGCTCCTTGTTATGATTTCTTTGTATAATAAGTCCTTAAACAGGTAGGTTTTTTGGGGTTAAGGTAGGGTTTAGGGAAGCCAAAGCACTGAAACCAAAGCGCTCCGGCAAAGCAAAGCAAAGGTCCGAGCAGCGCGAGCATGTTTGCAGATGGCGCGACGAATGGTCCCACAGACTGCCGAGAGCTGAGCATCGGTCCAACAAGGTACTGTCTATAAGGGTTACTGGAAGGGTTTCTATGACGATATTTTGAGACCTAAGGTCTGGAAGGGTTTCTGTGACGATATTTTGAGACCTCAGGTCTGGAAGGGTTTCTGTGACGATATTTTGAGACCTAAGGTCCTTAGGTCTCAAAATATCGTCATAGAAACCCTTCCAGTAGGCCTTATATAAACTACCCTGTTGTACTTGTTATGGGGTTGGGATATAACGAGGGTGCTGTCATAGAAAGAAACCGTCACCCTTATCCTCGGGTATATTCGATTACCAGTATGGGAAGTAGCCCGTATAGCCTTCCAGCACCCTTATATTCTTACAGGCTTTACAGGGTTTCAGAGTCCAAGAGCGCTGGCCTCAGGTGCGTCGGCGATGGACAGATTCCTCATGTTTCAAGTTTAAGTGGCTACTTCATGCAGAGATCACTCCAGGCGCAATCGCTGTTTCCGCAAATAGGCAACATATCAAGAAACACTACTCACTGCATGTGCCACCCGAGACGGTGCCATGAGTGTAAACCAGGCAGCTTGCATTTGACGTTGAAGTCAAAGCCACAGCAAGCTTCCGGCGATCAGCGCGAACACCGCGGCCCACAAGCTCATCGCTTAATGCCGCATGGACTCTCGCTTGTCATGCATACTGCCCACGAAGCACACACCACAGGCGATTGCGGTACAGGATGCGGTTGCAAAGAAGATGCAGTGCGGTCTCTCAGCACCACGGGCACGGGGTTCAGTACAGGGCTTCTGGGTTCAACGATGCTAGACTTCTTGATTCTACGTTTCTGGTTTCCCCTTTGGTCTAGGGCTCAGAGCTTTGCAGCTTGCTTGCAGGCTTTGTGGTAGCAGCAAAATCATGCACCACACAAGATTTTGGGGCTCCTTGTTTTATATAGAGGGAGAAATATGAGATCAATCGTTGCTAGTTTTGGGGCCTTGATATTTCGAACAGGGTTTCTGGGATGTTAACGTATAGTTGAAATCTGAGGAATATTATTCTAAGCATGAAGGCCCCTATACATCATAGTGACATCAGCCAGTGGTGAAGATCATGTCATCTTCCACAGTGTCACTACCTGCTTCCTGTACATGGCTTTATTCTGGTACTTAGTTCCGTTTTTGTTTGCCAATTTGACTCATAGCGTCAGAAAAGGAACGGCGAAGCAGCAACACGGAGGAGCTACTTTGGAGAATTTCGGTAGTACGCATGTATACGCAATACCCGAAAAGCCCTACTTACCCTCAAAGCCCATATATATATATATATATATCTGTAAATATACACATACACGTACGCACACAAATCCTATGAATCCTAAACATCTCGACAGCCTGGAACCTGCTCTTGGGCTGAGAAGCTCGGCCCAGGCAATGGCAGGTCGAAAGCGCCGTTGGCCCTCAGTTTAGGGTTTCTGATGTAGGGTTTTGGATTTAGGGGTGTAGGGTTTATGGGTTTATAGGGTTTCGGGATTAACAGTTCGTCGGTTTAGAGTTTAGGGTTTCTGATGCTTTCCGGGCCGATTTTGCAGCAAACCCGGATGCAACAAGGGTTTCCCTTCATGAGGCGTATATCTGTGACCTGAATATCGAGACCTTTGAAACAAACCAAGGGTTTGTACTCCTAAGACCTAGTATAGGGGCTTTAACAATGACCAATACTATTTTGGGAACCCTATTCTAATTATTACTTAAGACCCGTACATTACGCAATGACATCTGCAACTTCAATGCCCTACACTCCAGGATCCTATGCCCCATGCCCCAAGCCTCACAGAGCCTAGCCATGCGGATGGGCAAAGCCCCTCATATGAATATGGCTCATGTTTCAGAACCGCTGGGTTTCAGTTGGCTTTTCCGGCTAGCAAGAGAGCTTCTTAGTCGTGCATGAGGGCTTCAAGAGTGGATGGTTAAGGTTTCCTGGTTGACGTAGTTTTGGGGTGAGGTTTAGTCTTCGGAGGTTGGGCGAAGTACGCGAAACCGCCGACCCTCTATCCTGCGAGGATTTGTTTAACGTACGTGGTGCAGATTGCCGTTTCTGCAAGCTTCAGGTGTTGTTGAGGATCCTTTCTGTAGGCTCTCTATACTTTTGATTGTACATCAAGCCGGAGCGATCTGCGATCGTGAACTGTATGCAGAACTCAGAAGATGTGGTGCTGAGCCTTTTGAGCCGCAGAACAGAATCTAGCTTCAACATCGGGGACCTAAGACTAAACTGTTTTTCAACTTTGATAGTACCAAGCCTGGCATTAGGCCCTACTGTACATACTACATAATCCCCCAAGAAAGAGAATCTGCGAAACAGAGGCGTATGATCCACAACTGTAGAAACCCGCTTGGAGGGCGTGGGGTTCCGTAGATATAAGATCGAAACCCGAACTCTAAACTCAAGGACTTCCGAAAATCTTTCCAAGGCTGGCGGATTGCCGCCAGCCACAGCCCAGCAGGACCGTGAGCGGGGTGTTGTGGTATAGGGGCTTAGATGTGTCGGGATTTAGGGTTTCGGTTGTAGGGTTCAGGGGTAGCAGGGTTTGGGTCTTGAGGTTTAGGTTCCCATTGAGCCGAAGATGGTTTAACCCGTAATTACAGGGCTTCTTGTTATGTTTTTGCCCAAGACTCCGCCTGAATTTAGAAATATGGCTTTCACAATGCTTTACGGAAGATTAGATCCTTGAAGGCCCGGGCTTCGTTAGGTTAGGGTTTGACGTGGGGTGGCGTTCCATGAAGAGGGCCTGAACAAAACACTCCCACCAACAACACGCAGTAAGGGAGAGTAGGCCCAAGTAAGGTGCCGCTCAGTTAGTCTCCCTACTTGTTGTTCTTGAGACCCTTCCACTTCTAAACTGCCGTCTGTCGGCCTCTTTCAGTAGACTTCATCAAGCCTTGAGCCACAAGGGCATAGAGCTTCATATGCTGAACCCCCAAGGCCCTAAGCCCTAAACCCAAAACCCTATTACTGTGCCAAGTACTCGAGAGGTGGTGACACTGACGAGGTGGGCCATGGACACCAGCAACTGGACGGTCGCAGCCTCATTGGCAGAGCACAGAGCTGGGTCTCGGCCTATAGAGGTAATGCATTTTGGACTTGGGGATTTCAGAGTGTTAGGGTTGCTTCAGGGTAAGGCTAAGGTTTACAGATGTGTTTTGTCTTCAGAGGTTTTCGCCTGGGGCACTACCCTGTAAGACTGCACCCTTTCAGGGTCGGTCAACGCAAAGCTTGGTTAAGACTTGGGGGAATAGACACATCCAAAAGTGTGCATGCATGTGTGTACATGTGTACACACATACATGCATACATACATACATACATACATACATACATACATACAGAAAGACAGACAGACAGACAGACAGACAGACAGACAGACAGACAGACAGACAGACAGACATGCATACATGCTTTTATGTAGATATGTATACATATGTATACACATATGTACGCATGCATGTGTGTATGTATGGTTGTATGTACAGATTGATGTATCCCTGTGTGTGTATGCATGTATGGATGGAGGGATGGACGGATGGAAAGATGGATGTTATGTGCAAGTCTACGTGTACATCCATGTGCACTGCAATGTCTGCTGCTGGTTGAACCCATTCAGCACGCGGCATGGAACTGAATAATCAGTAAACACAGCCCTGCGTATCCCTTGGCTAGCACGGACCCTAACCAAGCTTGCTTGCGGCATGTTGAGCGCAGGTCATTACCCATGCCATGGCTGGCGACACGAAGCCTCGGATGCTGCCCTTGGCTGATGTGCAGCTTCGAAACGAGGCAAGGAATTCGACCGGAAACCTACCCTGAAGCCTTGAAGATGAAGCTTTCCCTGCACCTTAGGCTCTTAAATATCAATGAGCTAAACTAGCTGAGTCGTCTGGTCTATAAAAGAAGCCCGAGGTAGGGGAAAGCACATAAGTCCGCTTCGAGCTACACCGGCAGCGCTACGGCGCACGTCGTAGTCGTTTTTGTGTCTAGGTCCAGGTGGCTGCGTTGCTGATGTGTGATTAGGGGAGGCAACTTCTTGTGCCAGTCCACGTGATCTGCAGACTAACGGTTTAGGGCTCCCCCCAAAAGTGTGCATTTTTTTGAAACCTGACCCCATAAACCCGAGTCTCACAAGTGGGTATTCGTGGAGGACATGACGAACCTGGAGAAGCTAACTGGCATCAGGCTGTCATTTGCCATGCCCCCGAGCTGTTGTGATCTTTGTGCCGAAGATAGCGGGAACCTGTTCCGAGTTCAGCAGCTCAGAGCGGTTTGAGGTTTAGGTTTAAGGTTTGGGGCTCCCTAAACCCTAATCCCGTAGCTCTCAACTTAGCCACGCATGCATAGCAGTTTCATGCTGCAAGATCCCACAGCTTCCGGACAAGTTGAGAATGCTGCATTTATGGCATGTCGGCTACACATGCCCAACTTATTCTACCCCGCTTGTTTCACATACTCAGCCCCTTTGCTATACTTGTGTTCGCAAGGGACCCGATTTGCTAGGGATCAACTCGACTTTGCACGGCGAATGAGGTGAGCATGCTTTACACCGCTGCTGCACCGCAGGACTTTTTTGTGCAAAGGCTGCGCACGTAATCGATAAATCCATGTACCCCATATAGTTATATGCTTTGGCCCTACTAAAGCTATGATATGAAAATCCCCTTGAGGGCCCATAGATGCATGAACCCTGACGGCTGAGCGAAGTTGGATGCGCCCCCCCCCCCCCCCCCCCNNCACACACACACACATAGTTCTTCAGGTAGTCTATCCATGTATGATTTTGTGACGTGTAATAGGGGAACAATCGGTCGTCCGACTCCGTCGCTGGCTGGCATTCTCGGTTGTTGGGACTTCTATCTCGCGCCCAATCCCAACCCAGCCGTCAAAATCAGACAGCCTCAGCCTTTCAGTTCAAGTTCCGCGAACCTTCATTTTCCATGCCATAGATTGACAAGCCCTCCGCTCTCATTCATATACCCTCAGCTGAAATGCCTTAGCATTGTCCCTCCGGAATTCTGGGCCTGCCTGTAGAGATAACTGGCAGAATCAATTAGTAGTTTGTGTGCGGATGTCCCCGGTCCGAACTCGTATCAGAAGCAGAAATGAGTAGAGTAGAGGCTTTAATTTGCTTGATTCCTCCAATACTCAACAAACTAAGGGTAAGCGTCCCCTACCATGTCTACCTCTTCAAATCCAGGAGGCATCAGCATGGGACGCCTTCTGGCAAAAATGTGGCTTGAGGTGGTCGCTTTAAAATTTCCGTTTCGGTCGTAAACTGTAGGAATGTAGACCGATACTTAGTAGTCACGCTTTCTGGAGTTTGAAGATGGGGTCAGTGTTCACAACCGTCCTGACCAGCACATACGCTAATTAGCTGCAGAACTGCGATGTTCTCATCATCTCAACATGGACATAAGTGTACAGATAGAGTGGCAGGGAGCGTGAGGACATGTGTGTATTGATGCGACTGAACCAGTGCACAGTCTCATGTTCTTTACATGTAGAAGCCTGTGCTTTTGGTCGGCTGCGGATCTGCAGGCACGGGAGAGTGCAAGGTATGCTGGCCCTGCACCGGGCAGGTCCAGCTTCTCCTTCACAGCCACGGTGTGCGATCTGCAGCCTGACTCCTAGACAAGAGAACCTTTGCCTGCGGCCTTGCAGTGCAGTCGGCGGGACGCCCCTTGCAGCAAGCCTGAGTGAGGTAGCCGTCGTCGTCGCAGTAGTCGTCGGCGTAGTACGTATGAAGAGGAGTACTTCTACTACTACTACTACTACTACCACTACTACTACTACTACTACTACTACCACCACTGCTGCTGCTCGTGCCACCACCACCACCACCAGCACCACCACAACCACCACTGCTGCTGCTGCTGCTTACTGCCACACAGCACCAGCATTTCCAGAAGCCTTCGCCGGCAACAGCCGACAGTGATGTGTTTTCGCACGTGACTGCCGTCCAGAACCCTATAAGTAGGCCAAGCCCCCTGGCCCTAGGCCTTAATCCGTCCTGCTTTTTTTTCCTGCCGAGGATGGTGGAACACCGCTGGCTACCCGGCCGACAGGCCAGTCTCGTCGCTTTCAGGGTTTCAAGGGCGCAGTGTGACTTGAGGACCGTGGGCTGCGCCTTCTACTTATATGGTCGTTTACAGAGAGACCCGGATCCCGGTACTACAGTGTGCTATATGAGACCTCAACTAGGATGTGTGGTGCCGTCGTTGTGTGCTACCTTGCTCGGGGATCTGACTGCGACGGCGTGCCTGGAGCTGTGGAAGGTTAGGCCGCAGGGTGAAGGTTGGGCCGCAGTGTTTAGCATTTCAAAAGTTTGGGCTTTAGCACGGTTTAGTGGCTTCGGGATTTAAGGCTTACAGCTTAATGGGTGTGGGACTAAAATGTTTCCTTGGAGTGCACTTGAACTTCTCAGGCAAGCTTCCACATAAATCCTGAGCCCTTAAATCCCTCACCCCACTCTCTGCTCGACATGTCGACACATATGGCTCAAGATTTGCAGAAAAAAGCACTCACTCCGGATCTCTTCCCACTGCCCGCCGCCATGCTCCCGGAGCTCAAAGTCCAGGCAAGACGCGCTTGAAGGATCATGCGTACTGGCAGTTAGTTAGCGTTAAGCAGGGCAAGTCCAGCTTCTAGGGTTCTAGGATGGTTTACAGCGTTAGTTGGCGTTAATTTCAAATGCCGAGGGCGAAGAATCGCTGCAATCTCACGCGTGGACTGCCTGCGACACCTTTCATCGTTTTCGGTTAACAAAGCCCCGGAACCCTCAACTCCGCTGGCTGAGCCTGACTGACGCCCTCCACGTGTGTCGATTTCCCACAGTGTCCCAAGACAAACGTTTAAGCTTTAAGCCCCTAAACCCTAAACCCTAAACCCTAAACCTAAACCCTAAACCCTAAACCCTAAACCCTAAACCCTAAACCCTTTCATCTATTATACAGCCCTGAGAGTTTCTGCTTCCGCCAGAGTCCAACATTGTCCGCGACTTCCGGAAATTGGACCAGTTCCTTTTGCTTGGGATTCTCTTAGGGCGTGAGGATAGTGATGTTTCAAGTTTCAAGTTTATGGCAACTAATCCAAAAGATCGGGACACACACACACACATGCACAGACACATACACGGGAAACATGCACCCATACCGAAACTGTAATCCTTAATGCAGGAAGCCTACTTGTGCTTCGGCAAGTACTATGCAGGTCCGAATAATGGGTAGTACTAGTATGTCTTGATTCATCCAGCTAGAGTCCCTCCGAAATTCGGCCCTCTTCCCTGGGCAATCCGGAGGTCCCTCCAGTGCCTCCGGCTCCGGTGCCCTTGCGCCCGACTGCTGTTCGTGCTAAGCCGGAGGGGCCCAAGTTCTGCAACAAGGCCCAGGGCTGAACCTATTCCCAGATCTTCCAATAGCCCTTAACCCATGGAGATGCCTTGAAATAGTGGTAGGATCCCTAATATGATTTAAGGGGATATATTCCTTAAGGATTTTGGAAGATCTGGGTACAGTGCTTCAAGGCTTGTAAAGTCTGCCTCCGAAGGTCTGAAGATGTCAGTCTCTGTAAGGTTTACAGTCGGGCTTAGGGCGGCTTAGGGGGTTTAGGGTTCTGGGTCCGGGTTCATGGTTTTAGGGTTTAGGGGGTTTTGTCACGACATGCAAGCCTGATGTAAACAGGGGGTTTGGGGTCCTTCTGAAGCTCACCTGGAGGCTTTCCAGTGCAAAGAGTGCAGCCAGAGCTTCGACACCGACCACGCGCTGAACCTTCATGTCAAGTACATTCACAGGTCCAAGGAAGACTGAGTCGAGCACCTTTCAGGGAACATCGGGCCATTCACAGACGCGGTTTGACCGCTCTTGTGGTGATGGCTCGAGATGATTGTCCATTTCTCCAATCCGGGAATGAAAGCACAGGCTTCTGTACAAATACTGTTCTCCTGGGAACATGAACTTTCTAGTCTGTACTTTACGTTCAAAGGAATCCTCAGCAACGCTGGGAAGTTTCGTTGTGCCGGCCAGACCTTTCAACTGCTTCACTGGACCACAGCAGCAACATGAGACTAAAACATCCGTGTAGCTCGTTCCTAAATCACAACTTCCTTTCAAATTGCTTGAGTTGGTGTGCGCAGGTGCCGTGCGCATTGGCCGCTGCGTGATTCGTGCCGTATAGCCACCGAGTCCCCAATCCCAGCATTTTTTGTTGCACGCTATTCGTATATGTACATGTATGGTGCATGGACTGTCTTGTCCCAGCACTTTTTTCTCTGTATTATGCCTTCGCAACTCAAACACTTCAACCCATCCGCGGATCTGAAAGCCAACAAACCCTTATTCCAGTCTGTCCAAGAGTCTGACCAGGGGCGCTGAATCCTTAGGAAGGAAAATAACCCCAAAAAGTAAGCGAACCACGCACTGTGTCCCATGCCATCCAGTATGAACCTGGAAAGGACCTGTGCCAATAGCACTTCGAGGATTCACTCGAAGTTAGATTCAGTAAGAGACTCGAAGAGAGACAATACATCGTATTGTCCTTAGTGTAAGGATCCTAAATCAGCAGGCTCTCTAGTTCGATACAATGAACCCTCATGTGGTACTTAGGACAATGGAGAGGCAGCGCTTTCCCTGAAGACCCACAAGCAATGCCAAGCGGCCAGAGACCCTGAGACCTAAATCCTAAACTCGCAACCCTAAATGCAACCCTGAGTCCAAAACCACGGGCCTTAACCGGAAGTCCTAAGACGAAAAGCTTCAGATCATACAACAGATAGATAGGTAGGTAGGTAGGTAGGTAGGTAGGTAGGTAGGTCGATATATATATATATATATATATGTAATAGTATATTATGTAATATAATATAATATAATATAATATAATATAATATAATATAATATAATATAATATGATATGATATGATATGATATGATATGATATGATATGATATAACAGAATATAATATAATATAATATAATATAATATAATATAATATAATATAATATAATATAATATAATATAATATAATATATATGTGTGTATATGTACATATATATATATATATATAATATTTATGTGTCTATACATACACGCAGGCATACGCACATATGCAGTCCGAGACCGTATGTGGGGAAGAACGTTGTGTGCCGGAAGCGTCCTGCACAGGCCCCCGCCAGACGCACCTCAAAGCGCGAGGCCCAGAGGACATCGCAAAGAATGTAGGGGCCCAAACAATTACCAATACTATTTTGGGGGTCTTTATTATAAATATAGTATTATGGCCCCCGAAACCCTATTCTGATTGTTAAAGTCCCTATGTTAGCTCCGGACGTGAGAATTTCCAGCTAGGCCAAAGTAGATACACATGCCTAGACCCCCCTAACTACCCTCTAACATGCCCTAAATACCCACTCTCAAGGGCCATAAGGGCTCTATGAAAGGGCGCTTGGGGGTTCCTGGTGGACCCTTAGGATCAGGGTCTACATAGAGTCCTGCTCGTCGTCTCGTCTCTTGGGACAAGGGTTTCAGTTCAGAGTGGCGAGCTTCGGGAACAGAGGAAAAGGTAGGGAACTTAATAATTAGAATCGGATTTTGGGGGTTCCTTAGATTCTGGGGGTTCCTTAGAAATTTTATAGTATACTATACCCCAGACCTTATTCTAATTATTAAGGCCCCTATATGAAATAACTTGAGCCTGGGCCGTGTGGTTAGCTCACGTGCATGCTTGCGTTCTTCCCGGCTTTAGCAGACCTTCAAGTTACGAGGGCTTAGGGTTTAGCCCTAGCAACACACCCCAGAGTCCAGAAGCGTTCGGACCTGGTGGCATACAGTTGTGTTGTTTCAACATTGGTGTTCTAGGAGAGACCAGGGTTTATAAACGAGTTAATCGGATGTATAGAGACTAAATCCTGCAAGCCGTGAACCGTCTTTCGGATTTTTGGTCTAGGTCTGAGAGTCCAGGTGCTTGGGATCACGGCGTTCTTGAGGCCCTTTAGCTGAATAAAGACTTAGGGCTAAGGAGTCGAGATGTTCCCGGATTTGTGCGGCGAAATGTGGCCAAATCAATAACTGTTAAGAAGTCCAGTACGTCTCCACAGTCGTTAAACCAGTGTTGAAGGCGGGGATGTCGAACGAAGGTTGATGGAGGAAGCCAGGCATTACCCTGGAGTTGATGGACATGTGCGCCGTGTTTAAAAGCCTTCACATCAAATCCTAAACCTTAACGGTATGGAAAGACGGTATGGATGTTGATATAGAGAGAGCTGTTCTTGTCAAAGCCCCTTCAAAACTCCTGTTCTGAGGCTCCTGGAAGTCGTGTGATAGCTCGGGGGTTATATGGGAGTTTCCGAAAATAAGGGGTACCTTATTTTGGTGTCCTTATAATTAGGATCCTAGTATTTGGGGTGCTACATTAGGATCCCCTATTTTCGGAAACTCCCATATGAGCAGAAGCTCGCAACGCAGCCTACGCATTGCCTGCCGCAAGATCCGGCTCTGCTCTTCTCGGTTAGGGCGGCGATGGCAAAGTTTTGGCCAGAAGCTCATTGGGGAAGGGTTTAGGGCTTAGGCCTTAAAAAAAACAAGCCTGTCTCTGTCAGCTAGCATGAGCCACATAAGCTACTGGTCGCTTAGCTTGCTGTCGCGCAGAGTGGGCACTGAGACCTCAGTGCTCCTCTGCGCTGCTGCTCGCGGCACAACAGATCGGGCAACACCAGCAACAGATTCCGCCCTGTGTAGAACCTTTAACACCCCCTACCCGGAGAGTGTAAGCTAAAGTAACCTGCCAGGGTCTCAAGTTATCTTTGGCCGAGAGTGCATGGAGCCGACCATGGACACTACACCGGTCCCGACGGGTTCGGAGAGCGGCCCCCTGCATGCAGCCCGGAAGCAGACGGAAATCCTTGTTTGGGAGTCTTTGTAACAAGGGTCCTGCTCTTGGGGATGTATGGAAGGGCCTCTTGCCTTCCGAAATTCCCAGAAGAAGTACAAGCCCCACTCTCCAACAGGAAAGGGGCGAGGAGGTGAGGTGTTTAAAACTGGTACCGAGGGTGTAGGCTAATATGAGTGCGCAGAAAAACCGTTGGTCAGAACTCTTGGCACGATTCTAGTGTGTGTGGGGATTAGGCTTTTGTGATGGTGGATCTTCGACGGTGTGTACAGTCTCCATTGCAGTTTGTGTTTTGGTCAACCAATTGCTATGGCTATAGGATCATTGATACGACACTTGGGTTAACCAGAACAGGAACTACAATGGATACTACGAGGTATCAACAAGGTCAGGTGAGTTGTGCGAGATTGATTCAGAGAGGACCCTCAGGCCCGCAGACACAGCCCTACGTAAAGTTTGATTCTTTGGGCTGATGTATTTGGGTGGGTTAAAGCCTTCCGGCAAGTGACCATCGAGGTTTCGAATTTTCAGGTGTCGGCGTTTAGTGTGTGTTTTTTTTGTTTTTGTGGGGCTTTTTGGGGTCAGGCGCTCGTAGGACAGCTCAGCTCCATGCTAAATCCTCACACATACACGACAGACTCACCCAAAGCACGCAAGCTCGTTCGTAAAACTGTCCGTCCCGAACCCTTACTTTCCGCAGAAGGGATGCTAAAGCAAGTTGAGGGGACCTGCATGGAACTCGATAACCAAAGGGTCTTAAGTACCTCATTATGGTTCGGGAAAGTATTCCCCATACAGGCACTTAGGACCTTTGGGGCTTTTGGGATCACCGGAAGCATTAAAAGTTCGCCAACCCATCATGGGCACCCCCAAAAAAGGGACATAAGCAATAATCAAAATAGGGATATCCGATAAAAAAACAATGTTCACTTGCAATGAAGCTCAACAAGGTAAGTATGACCTCGTGAAATTAGTGTGTTTATGTCCTTTTGGGAGCCCGTACCGTACCATCATGGCCTTAATCCCCCAGCCGAAACACTAGGCCTAGCCACCAGAGCCCACCGCCACTTCATGAAGGGTTCTGCCTTAAACTGTATGCTGTGTACATGTTCCGGTTTAAGATAGCCTCCCACCCGTTCATTCAGCGGCACAGTTCAACTGTATAGATTCTGCTTCTGTTTCTCAAGAAGTCGTTGTACAGAAGGTACCTACCGTTTCTTTGGGACCAAGCTTTTGAAGAAGTGCGGTGGATGTGGCACCAGGAGGCCCCAGAGAAGCGATACCCCTAGATTTTCTGAAGCCCTCATACGGAAGCTGTAGACCCTCTAAAAGTTAGGAACCCTAAACCCCACGCATCCTAACACCCTAAATGCACGAACCCTGCACCCGGAGCCCTTCTAACCCTATTACAAGCCTTCTCCGTAAGACTAAACTCACTAAACCCTTAAACCCCTAAGCCCTAAACAGGCCCTAAACCCCTAAACCTCCTCAACCCAAAACCCCAAACCAACCCCAAACCCCTAAACCCTAAACCCTTAAACCCCTAAACCCAGAAAGTCCGACTCCAGCAGGTCCCTACTGGGATCGGATGCAGCCTCGCGCTTCAGAACTGGAGGTGGGGGACAGTGGAGTTTAGGGTTACCTTAACCTACCAAAACCTACTTTTTTGTAGGTTCTTATTATAAACCCTAACATGGAATTTATAGGGACCCTACAAAAAAGTAGGTTTTGGTAGGTTAAGGTAAGGGTTTAGGATTTGGCGTGAAATCGGCAAGCCGGTGAAACACAGGGTTGAGGGTTTAGGATGAAGGGTTTATGGTTAAGGGTTTTTAGGATTTAGGTCTTATGCTTGTGGATGTAGGGCTTAGGGTTTCTGTGGTAGAACATGGGCACAAGCCTTTGCTTCCGGGTCTTGAGGTTTCCCAGCCCGGACCCGGAATCCCCGAAGCCTGGCTCGGAGGGGAACCGAGATCTTGAGAATACGTCAGCAGTTGAAAATGCAAGCCCTAGGGACGCCGAAGAAAGAAGCCCGAAGCCTTCGTCCTACCTCAAAACCCGAGATTGCCAATTTGAGTAGTCATCTTGGTCACCATCGCTCATCCTCCTCCTCTGAAGGTCTGAAGAGAGCGCGGCAGCTTATCTTCACACCGAAAATGGTCTGCCGAAGGCAACCTTCACCGATGCAGACCTCTCAGCTCCTGGACGGATGTTAAAGACATAGGCTTTGGGACGTTTATCGTTCAGGGTTGTCTCCGAATTGGGTCCTTTCGCCTTGGAAAATCTTGCCATACGAGCATCACAGGCAATCCTCGTCTGGCGGGGTGGAATTGGACTGAGTTGTTTTGTTCTTTCAGGAACCCGAACCCGTGGGCGTTGCTTCATCAGGTCGTAGACGGTGCAGCAGCGCAGGACTCTGAAAGCAGCAGCCGTGCCTCAGCTGGTGTGAAGAAACCCGCTAGGCCCTTGGCTTTAGGGTCTACGGTTTAGGTTGTATACTGTAGACTTGCTTCAGAGGTTTAGGGTTTAGGGCTTTAGGGAGAGAGGGTGGAGTCGCTGCCGACCGGATGCAAAAAAGGAGAGAGGGTCGAGGAGTGTTCGCTGCGTGGCCAGGATCGAGTCGTCAGCCTAGTCCACTACCTGCGCAGCTTGGCGCAGACGTCTCCAAAGAGGAGGAAGCTACTTGGCAGGTGGATCCCTTGCCCCAAGTTTCCTGCAAGACGTTGCGCAGATGCGCTTCCCACAGCTCCAAATTTTAAACGACCACCATCAACAGAAAGATTGGCTACGTAGCATCTTCTTGAAAGAGAAAGTCGTAGTATTATTGGTCCCGATATGTCCACAGCATTTGTGGTAGCACTGTGGGAAGACGATTTGCTTCGGTCTCAGATCAATCTCACTGGGAGGTTCAGGGCACTTTGTTTGTAGAGTGAATCATGATTTCGGGCTAGATGCAGATGTAACTTGATAGAACTATAGATACCCTACGTGTAAGCTTACGAAGTCCCAAACCATATACACCCGTATTCAGCCTAAACCCTAAACCCATAAGCCCTAAACCTTAAAACCCGCTAACCTTGATCAGCCGCAGCCGAGGCTGAAGGGGGCTCACAGCCCTCTGGCCTATCTCGCCTGGTAAAGCTCGCAAGGCGAGCGGTTCGGGACGAAGTGTCCGACTCTCGTCTGGGGGCTGTCTATTGTACACAGGGTTTAGGGTTGAGGGTTTAGGCTGTAGCTAGTAAGTCGAAACCCTATTACATCTAGCAGAATCTAGCATTTAGTGGAACCATAAAATATGTGAGTATAAATATATATATATATATATAAACAGTGAACCTCTTAGAGGGTTCTTGATTTTTGTATGAAGTCGAAGCCTGAATCTAAAGCCGCTGATGACGGATACCCTTGGGATAGAGCTGCACGTACATAGATTCCGAGTTCACGGCTCATGGGATTTGGAGCTGTTGAGCGAAAGCTGAGACCTCTGAACCCGGTTTAGGGTTTAGGGCTGCTTGCTCCAACTCCGGGCGAAGTGGAAAGCCTGTTGCGAAAAAGGGTTTCCGAAGTACATTCCCTAATTCCTATAAACGCAATGCCTAAACACTGAACCCAAAGCCTCGGGATCTTGAAACGGTGGGAAGGCATGCTGGGCTTTCGCAAAAGAAAGGAGCCTCAGTCCGCGACTCCCAATCCCTAAGGCTCTAATGTCTAAGGACTCATATTTTTAGGGCTTTTGGGCCCAAAGACCATACTATATAAGCCTTTTGGGCTATTTTGAGCCTTAGGGAATGCCACCATGCTCCCATTGAAGACCCCCCGGCGGTTGCAGCGGCTTAAGTTCGGTTGGTTTTGACTTCGGACGGTATGTTGTGGGATAGTACTACTATAGCCCCCACACCGTAAACCCTAAACTGCCCCTAGTCGTTAGTCTCAGCACATGGACTTTAGCCAAGATGGAAGAGCAGGATTAGGACCCTGTGCGCGACTGCTTCATGGACAGGCCCTTTGTGACAGTGGAGACTTTCAAACCTAAGTTGTTCCAAGCCGTACAAGAAACACCCTGGACCTTGGCCTTATGAAACCCAAAAGCTAAACCCTGAACCCAGGAATGGGTTCCGGATGAGGAGGAGAAGGCGATCATCGCTAGGGCTGTAAAGCGCTTGCAAGCGCGGCTGGCAGGTGCAGTCGACCCTTGCCATGACCTCCAGTCGCAGCAGCTACGGAGTTCAAATCTGGTTAGGGGGTTATGTTATACAGCCAAGAGTTTGTTTTTGTTTTTGTGCGGGTTCCTCTTTCAGAATTTCCTGATGCCGTATCGAAATTCCAAGCCCTAAAGCCTCCGCCAAGGAGCCAGAACGGGCAAAGCCACCCGGCATTCTTCTTTGGGTGGAGAAGCCAAGGCTCTGCCTAGATACACACAAAACATTGTAGAAGTCGTGGTAGTAGCAGTAGCAGTCGTAGAGTAGCTGGTAGGTAGCTAGTGTACATGGTCGTTAACGCTCAGTAGTCAGCAGTCATCCTACCTACCTACCTACCTGCCTACCTACCTACTACCTACCTACCAACGACCTACCTACTTAGAGGGTAAAGTCTACGGAGTTTAGTTTTGGGTTGAGTTTAATCTAGGTTGATCAAGGGTTTGGGGTTTAGGGTTGAAATAGTGCCCGTATGAGAGCGCAAGGCTTTGGGGCATAGGGTCTGGGGTGTTTGATGAAGTTTAAAGTCTTAGGGTTTAGAGTTTAGGGGTTTCGGAGTTTAGGGCTCTGGGATGTGCGCCCGAATTCTTTCAGCTCGTGATTCTGAACTTGCAGTCAGCAGCCCAATACCCCACGTAAGCAAACGAGGGCCCTTACCATGGCGTTAAACCGGGGTTTAGGGTTTAGGGGTTTAGGGGTTTATGGTTTAGGGTTTAGGGTTTACGGCAAAGGTAAGGTCTTGGCATGGCGAGCCAGCTATCACACAGACGCAACCGATGTCAGCAGCACATAAACTTGCAAACTCTCTAAGAGGGAGGGAACTGTGCCACAAAAGCTCAGCAGCAACAGCGACATAACGAACGGGATGTCCAGCATTGATGCCAACGAATATCGTCAGAATATTCCTTGACGGCACAGACCTGTCGCCTGTTGTCCGGGCCTTGCTCCAATATCCCTTGATTAAGGAATATACCTTAAATTATAGTAGGATCCCTAGTATGATTTCAGGTATATTCCTTAATTAAGGGATATTGGAGTCTCCGGGCAGGCTCAGGTCCAGATCCAGGGCCTCCCCTGACGCAGGCCGCAAGGACGAGTGAGGTGCATCCTTTGCCAAGCCAGGTGGCTGCCGTGGCAGCCTTCGACAGCGGCTGTGGGCCCTCTCCCTGTCCCGGCGGGCTCTTGCTCGGGGAGTTCGGCGCTGGCGGCTGCGGCCGGGGTGGCTGTCTCCCCTTCTGGTGTCCACTCTGTTGTAAGATGGCTGCACCTTTGCCCGTGCCCCTCGGCTATGCAGAAGGCACCGAGAATGCAATCGAGATATCACCATGCCATAGTAGAGGGCACATAAACGGAGAGATTCAGGCCTCAGGCAGTGGGCGTTTTGGAAAGGAGGTGCGATCTGCCACGTAGTAGAGTTCATGAACTTTAGTTTAGGGTTTAGGGTCGAGCAAGGGATACCAGAAGACCGAAGACCTGTACACAAGTCTTATCGGAGCTGCCACCCCTTTCACTCCTGACAATCCACTGCCACCCAGTCAAGAGGAGGTGTGCCTTTCTTTAGGCCCTTATACACCCAAAAGGGTTGAAGTGGAATCCTCATGTTTGCAGATGACTTTTGGGGGCCCCGAAAACCCCAAACTCTAAAACCTACAACTCTAGCCCCCCTTTAATTCAACTCTAAGCCCCAAATCCTAAATCCATCAAAACCCAAAAAACACACACAATCAACCCGATATCCTAAATCCCTCAAGTCTAAACCCTAAATCCTACATCCTCAACCCCTGACCAGGGCAGTGGCTTGAACTACTCGCATTCTCCGCCGGCATCGCCGCTGCTTCGCAAAGCGCTTCTCCCAGTAGGCCGCAGCACCTCTAAGTGTTTAGGGTTTAGGGGTTTAGGTTTTGAGTTTTATGGGTTTAGCGTCTTATAGTTTGGGGGTTTAGGGTGTAGCGGTTTAAGGTTTAGGGGTTTAGGGTTCAGGTTGTTTTTGGCTCAGGCGCTGAAGGTTGGCTTTTATGGCGTTAAGTTCAGATAAGACCAACCAACCCAGTAATCCAAATCCCTTAAACTGTGATTTGTCCTAAACCCGAAACCCTAACCCATGCCCTAAGCCTCCGCAGTACATACGTTGGCCCTACAGTACATAAACAGGGACTACGTTGAGGCCTGCGTATATACTATTTGGGTCGCTTAGGGAAACATGATGAAGAGTGTACCCCAAACCCTAAACCCTAAACCCACTAAACCCTAAACCCTGAACCGGAAACCCTGAAGAAGGAATCAAGATAATCTTGCCAAGCTGCACTGTACAATGGCCGGGGCCGCTTGGGTTTGAGCCGGTCTCTGCTGGAAGCTATGGGTCCAATTGAAGGTTTGGGCCCTAAACGTTAAGCCCTAAACCCTCAAACTTTAACCGTTCTAGGGGTTTAGAGTTTAGGCTTCAGGTTTGGGTTTATTCCTCTCAAAGTTCGTTTAACGGTTAGGGCTTGCAGCGCAAGGGTAATAGGGTTTAATGGGCCCTGTCCTGAACCCTCTGTCCCCCACTCTTTGGGCTGATGTAATGTAAGGGGCCTTAATAGTTAGAATAGGGTTTTGGGCCTTGGGGGCTCCTTATTATAATAAATATATTACAATATAGTATAATCTACCCCAAAGCCTATTCTAATAATTTTGCCTCTAGGCCAGCTTTTAACAATTCGCCTTGGCCCCGGCCGAAGCGGCCAGAGGTTCCTATTC